AACATTACATTGTCTCAAAGCGCTTTACATTATCCCTGCCCAAAGCACCAAGTGAGCAAGCCAGAGGCAAAAGTTGTGAGGAAAAACTCCCTAGAAGGAAGATCTGAAAAAAAAAACTAATTTATACAGTGCAAATTTTAAAATTCTGGCTGAATACAGAGGGCAGGCAGGTGCCGGGACGGATGCTGCGGTTTGTACAGCGGTGACCTCCTGGTTGCTCAAGTCATCTCTCTCCTTCACAGCTAGTTTTAAAGATGACCTGTTTTCATCATTTAAATTGGAGCAGACCCGACCCCCCCCCCCCCCCCCTCCCCACAGCCATAGGCGGTGAACATACAGTTTGAGGTAAACAAGACAAGAAAAGCACCTCCCATTTTTTCACAGTTTTAAAAAAAGCCTCGACATCCTGGGGCAAAATGTGCATCTAACTCACATGCTGCTGTGCAGAATGATCAAGAGACCAACGGATACATTTCCATACATGTGTATGAAATGTGATTTCTTTACATTATTATATCACCACTAATGACAGGCACCCGCGTAATGTGGGCAAAGTAATCCGTACGTAGAACGCGTAACGAGGGAGTCAAACGTTCCAAAACTGAATGTGACTGACTGGCGTTTAGCGAAGCGGTGAGAACCCAAACACCCCTGCCGCGTTCAGCGGAATGACACGCTAGGGAATCTCCGTCTCTATCAGAGCACGTTATATAACATTACCTCGGAACGCGACCACAACCCACTGCCGGGCGAAAAATGGGACTCTACCATCATTTCCTTCTCCCTTCTCGCCGAAAGCTGAGACTAAGAACCCTGAGCACAAGAGCCAACCACCACCGGAACAGCACAGGAACACAGGAACACAGGAACATCCCTCCTGCCGTTGCCTCATTGGTAAGAACCTAGTGCTGCTTGGTAGCCAGTCTGAGTCCTTATCGTCTTCGTAAGCCAGTCTGCACACCTACAAGCTGCCTGCACCGTACATGTGATTGTCCCACTTCATTTATTTGCGTAGAAATATATTTATTATTTAAACATCTTTATTTCTAATGTACTACCTCTACTTCTAATTTACTTTTATTTTATTTATTGATTTTTTGTGCATTTGCCATTAATATATGTTTGATTGTTCCTGATATGCCACTACCCACACCAAGAGAAATTCCTTGTAATTTGTTTTGTACTTGGGTATCTGATTAACGATCAAACACTTTTTTATACAAACAGAAAGGAAGGAGTCCCCCCTCATGGAGCCCTGGGACCCAGGTGACCAAACCCAAGCTACCCAGAAGCCCCTGGGGTGATTATCATCTTCAGCACAGCATCTCTATAAAACCTTTACAGCAAACATAACTATCAGCAGCAACTCTCTGCCCGGTCTGGTCGAACAGGCTCTGAAACGCATCCCTTTTCCTCACCTCGCATTAGCACAAATGTTGTTTTTCAGACCCTGGCAGAAGAGGGCGGGGGGGGGTTAAGGCCCCCTCCCCCCAGCCCGACCCGCTTAAAGTAGGCCAAACACTGGGTGTTGATTTCACAGCTTCATTATACACAGGTGTACACTTTCCACTCTGGCACATAAATTTGATGAAACAAGCACACGGCTACGTCGCTATATTTAG